TGATTACAGGAAAATCTTTGCTTCTTCTCATTTCCTTCTCATATAGTAAGTTCAGATGCACAGATGCAGCACGTACATCGTTTGCAACAGGACACTAGACCCTGTAGCTGAATTCATGTTATCAGGACTCTCTGAGCGTACACAACGCCCGTTTCAAGCTGAAGTATGAGCGAATTTGAACGTTTTATTTATCAATGCTTATCAATTGGAATTTCAAGCTTTGACTAAGCCAGAGTACAAAGTGAATTTACGTTTCGTTGAGCCAGGAACGAGCTAAAAACAAGATTTATGCGATGTCAAATAACTTCTGATAGCTGACCTTGTTTACTCCCATATAGCAAAAGTTCATATCCATAGGAAGTACATTTGCAACCGTACTAGTTGCTCTAGCTTCCTCTATGAATAGATAAGCCCACCCGGCTTTGTTCAGATGTTGTTTCAGGTATGAGGTCATCTCATCAATGGTATTGTAGTTGTTAACTGCAGTCTCCACAATATCAGCAACGCTTTGATCTTCGCAGAAAGCTTCAAATAAATAATAAGGAATGAAGATTCAGAGTATCTTAACTATGAACGTCAGATTGTTGGATGACTACACGTTTCTGAGCCAAAACTTCTGTAAGCATATTCGTACTTAATCCTTTTTCAGAATAGGAATCTTACGCTGATTTGCGAAGTTGAACACACTTTGTGCTCTAACAGAAGCACAATCGTCACAGTGACCAACACACCAATTCTCTCTAAAATCATGGAAGAAAATCATACATAGCTGAAGTTAAGCATACCTGTTAGTTTGTTCTCCAAAAGNAAACGATATAAGTAATCATATTAGATTATTATAAATTGCAGGTTGCGATTTTGACGCTGTTCACAGCAACTTCGTCACAACTTCAATGACTGAGGTGAAGGATGCTGCTCGCACAGGATTTCAATATGGAAACAGCACATGCTTCTCATTCTGTCCTGTTATTTCTACTCTTTTTATAAATGCCAAAGTTCTCCTTGCTAACACTCCCACTTTACCGGCCAAGATGACAAGCAGGAAGTTCAAGAGACCCGAAATACTGGATGGCTTTGGTTGGTTGAACTAC